AAAGAAATGTGGGATAAGCTTGAAGTGACATACGAAGGTACTCCTCAAGTCCGTGAAGCTAAAATTGATTTTCTAACCCATGAATATGAGTTGTTTAAAATGAAGGAAATTGAAAGTGTTGATCAAAGGTTCGACCAATTTTTAAAGATCATCAACGATCTCCATGTCCTTGGTAAAACATACTCGAACAAAGATCTTGTTCGAAAAATCCTTCGGAGCTTAACATCAGAATGGCGTTCAAAAGCTGATGCCATATATGAATCAATTCGTAACACTAATGTCACCATCGATGGTCTTCGAGGTAATCTTAAAACTTATGAATCTACTGTTCTTAAACCTTCTCTTCACAAGAGTCCCGGTCTCGCTCTCAAAGCCTCATCCTCAAAAAGGGTAGAGGTAAGTGACTCCGATAGCGATGACGATAATCCTTCTTATAACTTGCTCGAGAAGTTCCAAGAGTTTTTGAAGGAAGGACTTAGGTCCCGAGATTGTAAAAGAAAGGGGGAACCCATTCCAACGTGCTTTGGTTGTGGAGAACTTGGCCACATAAAGTCATATTGCCCATACCGCAAGGAAAAGAAGAAGAAAGAACGAGCATACATGGCATGGGATTCGGAAAGTTCCGGTGACGAAACTGCCACCTTATGTCTTATGGCTCATGAACAAAATGGAGAGGTAAGTACTTCTAACTCTTTCTCATTTGAAGAATTACAAGAAGCCTTTCAAGAATTATTTGGTGAATTGAAGAAAACTTCAAAAATTGCCAAAGAGGCTAAGGTAAAAATTCATGCTTTTGAAGAGGAAAATAAATCTTTGGAAAATGATAATTTTGACCTCAAAAATAAAATTAAGGCAATGAATGAAGCTTTTTCCTTTGACCAAAGTTCTACTTGTTCCTCTTGTAAGTCTTTAAAAATAGAGAATGTAGAACTTAAGAGCACCATAGAAAAACTTAAGGTAGAAGAACCTAAGAAACTTGGTGAAGAAGTTAATAATGATAAACCACCTAGAAGAGAAAATAATCCTAGTAATAACAAAATCAATTTTAAGTTGAGACAACCTAGAAATGACTCTAAGATTTTTATAAATGATAGAAATAATTTGAGGCAACCTAGAAATGAGTCTAGGAACTTAATTAATAAGTCTAGGAACAATGACTTTAGATCACCTAGAAATTTTTTGGCTCAACCTAGGCATATGCATAACCCAAATGTAATTTTCCATTATTGCTCTAAGATAGGACACATAGCACCCGTTTGTTTTACCAAACATAGGGATTTGTTTTATAGCTATGATTATTATTTTCTTAACCCTCAAGGACCCAAAAGTTTTTTGGTACCTAAAAATTATTAGATGCATATGTAGGTGTGTTTGAAGACTACATTTTTGTAGTGGATGCTCCAAGCACGAAACCTAATAATTTACATCAAGGGGAGTTTGGGGGGAATTGTTTTTGCTATAAACATGGTATCAGTTTCAGGGGGAACATACAACAATGATGTTTTGTATCAAACATCAAAGCTCAGGGAGTACCTTTTTTTTAACTTTACTTAGTGCTTTTTGCTAATGCCAAAAGGGGGAAGTGTTTGGGTATATGCAACAAGTGAGGCGGAATCTTGTTTTCAAAGGCGTAGGGGGGATTACCATTACTCTCTCTTTGAAAACCCAACTTGGCCTGCATATCCCCTCCTTGGTTTGTCATTATCAAAAGGGGGAAATTGTTGGAAAACATTTTCACTTTGACATTTTTGCTAATGACAATGTTTGTTTCCGTTTAGGTTTTGATATTGACAAACCTTCGGGAACATGGAACAAAATGAAAAGATAGAAAAAGTTCTTTGAAGAAACAAAAAGCACAAGAACGGCATTGACGTTGCTAAAGATCGCGACACTGGCGCTTTGAAGACGTATTCTAAATACTTATGTTTTTATTGTAACAAGCTCATTCAATTTCTCTACGTCATGGCTCAAAACAAAATATGTTTTTCATGCATCAAATTAATGTTTTCATAAATGGTTTTTAAGTTTCTAAAACCCATGGTTCTTTCTTAACCAAAACCATAACCATCGGTTATCGGCGTTCGGCTATGGCGTTCGGTTTTCGGCATTGGTTATTGACATTGATTTTAACCAAATGGTTTTTGGGTTTTTATCTTTGGTTTATGCTTCTGGACACATTTAAAGGTTTTCCAAATAATTAGTTTTCAAAAACCATAACCTTTGTTTTTTGGCGTTGGTTATCAGCATTCGGTGTTGGTTATCGGCGTTGGTTTTTGGCGTCCAAATCAATCAAGTGGTTTTTAATATTTTATGATTGGTTTTTACTTCTGGACATATCCAAATGGTTATCCAACAAAAACATGTTAAAAACCACCTTTCGTTTTTGGTCTTTTGGTGAAAACCATGTGAAATGGCATAAAATTGGCTAGCCGTGGTTTTCACCTTAATGAAGTGGTTTTTAAGTTTTTATACTTGGTTTCTACCTAAAATACATTATATAAGAGTTTCCAACACTTGGTTTTCATTTTGGAGAACTTTGGTTTTTGACATCGGTTTTCGGCGTTGGCTGCCAAACCATGGTTCTAACAAACCATCCCGACATGCATGTTGGAAATCCAAACAGCGATGTTCATGGTTGAAAAGCGATGTTTTCAAATGACCGTTGGGCTATTTAAGACAAAATCTTTCCATTTTTGAAAGTCAAACACCCTAAAAGCGATGTAGACTTCTAGACATCGATGTTTTGGTGACCGTTAGCCATTTTTAAAGGAAAGTCAAAGCCAGAACAGCGATGTTCACCTTAAGAGCAGCGCTGTCGGGCTAGATTTCAGCAGATCCACTTTTATTTGATTTCCACAAATCATGCCAATCAACCCCAATATTCTCCCAACCGTTGCACCTTGTTTTTGGGTATAAAAAGGGGTATCTTGGGTGTACTTTGCATATCCATTCCTCACACATTTCATAGCTTTACATTGCATCATTCCATAAACTTTTTACATAGCTTTTTAGAGCCATTTCTTGAGGAATTGAGCGTGTTCTTGATCTAAATTAGTTTACTCATATTCTACTCTTTAAAGAGAGTTTTTGTTCTTGAGTGATTAAGTGTTGTGAACACTTTAAGGGAGGTTTGTTACCTTGGTTGTACGAAGGAAGGGCATATTCCTTCGGGTTGAAGTCTTGGAGTGCGGTATCTCTGAGGAAGTGTATTGAGGCTCGTGGGACTCGAGTTCTCAGGTTGTAACGGTTTGTTAAGCACTCGTAAGCTTAACGGAAGTAGTGTAGCTCGAGAGAGTCTCTCGGGAGACTGGACTAGCCACAAGTTGTGGTGAACCAGTATAAATCTTGGTGTGCTCCCTTTACTCCTTTTTATTCCGCTCTTTACTTTATCCCTGCGATTTTTATTCCGCGAAAATTTATAAACATTCTCGTGCCTCACTATTAATTTCCCCTCTAGTGAAGGGCACCTATTCTAAAACTTCTTGCACATCTTCTTCATCAGCAATCTTTAGTGTCCTCTCAGACTCTCCTTCTGCTTCATCAAGCACAAAATTTGATATATATCTAGAGAGGGAGTCTCTTTTTCTTCAGCTTCATTCTGTTCTTCAAAAATTTCTACTGGAGTTTTAGAGGCCTCCAGTTCTGCCATTTGAGTTTCCTTCTCAGCTTCTGCAAAACTCCTCTGGGCTTCTACAGCTTGCTCCTCTTGGGCTTCAGTTGTTTCTGGAAAAGTGGACTGCTCCAGAATTTCTCCTGACTTTTCCGGGATCTCAAGTTCAGGCTGGTTGGAGATCTCACAAGCAGTTGTGAGAATCTCAAGGACTTGAGACTGGAGATGTTGCTGAAGTTCTTCATCTGATGCTTCCTGGTTCTGTTTTTATGGAGTAGAGACTGCAGCTTCAGGCAGAACCATTTCAAAGGCAGATGAGGTTTCCGGAAATATTTGGAAAGCCTTAGCTGTTGCTTCCAAGTCAGCGTGTGCTTCAGAAGTGAGAACCACCTGATCTTCTATGGCTTTTGAGAAGACTGGCTTGTAGACTGCAAACAACTGCTCTGTTGAATTTCCAACTGCAAACAACTTTTCAGAAGTAAGCACTTTTTGATGATCTTCTCATTCTTCAGTTGTTGGTCCCAACCCAACAACTGCTCTGTTGAATTTCCAACCTTCCAAACTTTTCAGTCATAGTAGAGCTGCCAGAATTGGTTATCAGCATCATCTGTTTGGGGTTGAGGTGAGGGGTTGGAAGACTATTGGACTTGATGAGCTTCTTCTTCTAGTTGTTGAGGGCTCTGGTTGTGGGCAGAGGTTTCCTCAGCAGGTTCCTTTTACTTCAACTCATCCGGGTTGACATTTCTAGATTTTGAGGGAGAGGTGATTTTCCTCTTCTTCTTTCTTTGAAGTTCTCCTTGATCAGAGACTTCTTCTTCTTCAAGATTCACTGGAACAAGGTTCCGTGGTGCTTTTACACAGAGAGGGAGACACCACTTGCTTCCTTTTGGCAGTTTTCGTCAAATTGATGAGTGGGACATTGTCTGAAGAACTTTCCTCAGCAGCAGCACTAGCACCAGCTCTGTTTTCCACTACTACAAAAAAAGGCTTTAGCATCGCTTATTTTGGACCTTTTGCATCGGTTTTTTACCGATGCAAATGCAAGCGATGCAAAAGCTCCGAGGCAATTGAATCGGTTGTAAAACAACCGATGCAAAAGGTCAGGCTTTAGCATCGGTTGTTTAAAAACAACCAGTGCCAAAGCCTTTTTTTTTTAAAGAAAAAAGAAGCTTTGGCATCGGTTGTTTAGAAACAACCGATGCCAAAGCCGTATTTTTTTAAAAAAAAATAGGCTTTGGCATCGGTTGTTTCTAAACGACCGATGCCAAAGCCTATTTTTTAAAAAAAAAATACAGCTTTGGCATCGGTTGTTTCTAAACAACCGATGCCAAAGCCCTTTAAAAAAAGAGGTAATTTGAAGCATTAATTATTTTAAAATACAGAGTTATAATATCGCAATACATATTTATTAAACCACTGGAGAGTGACAAATATAGTGGCATCAAAAGAAACTAACCAAAAGGCCTAGAAAACTCAGCTATAAGTCCGAAAAATACATTTAGTCCAGCTTTGGGATTTGGCTTCAATATAGATCTTCCACAACAGTTGAAGCAATCGGATCAAGTCCAGCTCCTTGTTCATCATATAAAAGCACCTGCCATTAACCAATCAGCATTGAGATTTGCCATTTTTCATCATCCATTTAATTACTAAAAGATTGACTTTCCCATTTCCAAGAATTGGGTGAATTCTCAGAATTTCACACATGATTTTATCAAACTTTTAGTAATTAAATTCTCTATAATTCTATTATGACTGCCAAATCAAACAAAACAAAGCCTTGATACACTAAGACGAAAAAAAGCAATACAACAGACAAGCAAGATTGCATTAAGAACATATGCTTACTTTTTTTTGGGGGGGGGGGGGGGGGAATTGTTCAAAGGCCACCTGTTTGCCTCTCGCCCGGAGGTAGCAATCGGTTTTTGGTTTCAGCACCACGCTGCTACTGTGTACTAACAAGAGTTCCTTTCTTTGAGTTACATTATGGCATGTTGAACATGTCAGTTTCAAAGGACACATTATATTTGTTGCTCAACATATATATGGTCTTCAATTAGCCGTAGGGATAAGGTCTGCTTACACCGCATAAACTAAGAGGTTCATACAGTCATAATTTCGCAGGTCACACACCCCTAAAGATCACACCCTGAGAATCAATTAAAGATTAGGTCTTGTTCGATACACGTATATATTAGGGGGTTAATTCATTTATTTTCCGTTGTTTCTTGACACTCTACAACATTCCATAATATACATTTGTACTTGGATGCAGTCTCATTGCACAGGAGTGCCTTAACAGGATAACCCAAGTCAGTAGCAGAAGAACTACTCTCTCTGACTTTGTCCCCTATCAGTCCAGAAAATACATTAACTTGAAGAAAAATTTAAAACTCAGCTGCACACCTTCAGAGTTTCAGCACCATTTCACCATCAAGCTAACTAACGAAAAAAATTACAGTTTTTTTTTGCAAGCTAATTTTTCAAAGCCATGAGAGAGGAGCTTGAATTTAAATCCCATGTGAATTTAAATCCCATGTGGTATCTGTACCTATAGGATCATACAAATTGGAGTTAAGAAATCAATAACCAAGTCCGATTTGTTAAGATGACTTTACTAATGTTTACGGGAATATGAAATTAGTAAAAGACTTTGAAATTAGGCATGCCTTACATATTTTGCCACAACCCATCCTCTTCCCCTATTAGCCCCATGCTTCCAGCCGCATACAAGGCCTCAAAACAGCAGACCAAGATTGCACGACAGAAACTACAGCACAAAATACATTTGCACAAAACTAGAAATCAGTGAAACAAACTAAGAAATCATTTGCTTTTTAAAAGTTGAATTGGACAAAGCAACATGATCACTCACCTCGAGAGCATTATCAATCCATGTATCATTAGAATTGAACTTAGTAGATTTATTACTTTCACTGACAAGTGTAGTGTTCATCATCAGTGGCCCAACTTCTTCCCTGCTGGAAAATAATTGATACTATGGAAATAATGCTTAGAACTGAGTTTTATAAATAGTTACTACTAAAAAACATATGTGCAAACCACAAAATCCTGCAAGAGTATACATGTTAACAGTGAATGCAAAAGATATACAATACTTCGGAGTAGGTATATTCATTTGGGACAAAACATAACTACATGCTATAAACAAGAATTAAATGCTGAGTTTCTTGCATTGAATGGTGAAAGGCTGAAAGCAATGTTTAGAGAGTAGGGACTGAGACTGGGTCGTCTGGCCGGACCGGCAATTAGCACGTTGACTTCAATGAATGAAACCCTAGGTCGAAATCGAGTACAACTACCCAATCTGTTCAAGGTATCGCGACCATATACCGAGCAAGAGAGCTTGATTCCGGAATGAACAATTTTTCTTAAAAAACCAAAAAAAAGAGACTATAAAAGAGATCCATACCTAATCTCATCCGAAGAAGATGAGATGGTGGCAGAAACCGAAAGCTGCTCCAAATTGGCCGTGATACAGGGAAATCGAATCTTCCACGCGTCGGTGGGGGGCGGCGATTGGCCTCGTGGGGGAGGTAGGGGAGGTGGTGAAGGTGAAGGGTATGATAAACATCCAAACTCCAGACTAAAAAAATAAAAATAGATATATAAATTAACCTCGATCTGCTCCGATGAAGGCGGCGAGAGCCGCTGCGAATCTATCTGGTAGATTGGAATACAACGAAGACATGGAGAAGCTAGACGGAGATGAAGATTGGCGATCGGACATGCGCTGTTCTTCAGGACCGGACGCGCTGTTATAATGGAGAAGATAGACGGATTTTTAAGATCTCAAAATACTGGATTAGCATCGGTTAAACGCACTGATGCCTTTGCGTTTTCCCAAAAATTTCGAAAATTTAAAATTCTTTTTAGCATCGGTTCTGGTAAAATAGTGATGTGTTTGTTCATTTTTTTAAAAAATTGAAAAATATAAAATATGTATTAGCATCGGTTGTTCTTAAAATATGTATTAGCATCGGTTGTTCTTAATAACCGATGCCATTGGTCTATTGCATCGGTTATTTCAAAATAACCGATGCTAATACATATTTTGATTTTTTAAATTATTTTTGATAAATATCAATTGCATCGCTTTTACAAAATAACCGATGCCTTTGGTCTTTTGCATCGGCTATTTATATAAGTGATGCAATTGGGGCAGTGTTTTTGCCATTTTTTGTAGTAGTGTTCTCCTTTTGAAGACAGGTAGTATAGCCAATATCTGGCTCCATACTTCTTCCCTTTAGATGCAGCACCCATGGACTCCAAAATATGTCCAATGTATAGACCTTGACAAAGGTATTTCTGGTTGGGCTTTCCCAGATGCTTTGAGATGGAATTGAAGAAATGTGCAGCCCAGTTTACCTTAGACTTGGTAATGAGGGCGTTGATGATGAAGGCCCTCTCTTGGATGATGTCATCAGCATGTCCTCCACTTCCACACTCGAGGCATGCGATGACCAGTTCCATGACTAGCTTGTAGTCGTTGTTCAGATCAGCTTTCTTCGTTGGGCCAGAAGGAACTTGCCCAGAAATTCCAATAATATTCCAGTCCAGATTTTTGACTAGAAATCTCCCAATTTCAGCTCCAGAGTTGGGAAGGTGAAGCTTTTCTCCCAATTTCTTCTGTGAAAGCTTCACTTCTCTCCCTCCAATAGTGGATTTGATGACTTGAATCGTCCTCTGTGGGTTCTTCTTTGATCGAACAGTCCTGACCTCTCCATTTCTGTAGAATTCCAGAACTTCAACTTCATATTTGAGGTGGATCTCCATATGAAGGAATTCGGAGAGTTCTTGAGCAGCTATCATCTCCAGATAGCTTTTATAGAATGCCGGTGAAGAGCATTTGGCTTCCAATTTCTGGAAGTGGACATTAGTGCCAACAATCTTCATTCTCTCAGAAATTTGAGTGAGAAAATCTGAAGAATCTGAAGAAATTTTAGGGTTCTTGAGAGAACTCAGAATTCTCGCGAAGAAGACGACGAAAAACTTTGAGTGGGCAGTAGAGATCTGAATAGTGGCGATTGAGTTTGATTTGGGCGATTTATGTGGCTAGTGGCGATTGGGTTTTTGACTATTTCCAAGGCCACGTGCCTACCCAATATTTTGACAGATGTGGAAAGTGGAATGCCATGTGTATCGCACTCAGTCTAATTGAATTAGACCAATTTTGTAAAGTAAGCCGGAAAATTTGGCTTCACTACGTGGTTTTGTGAAGATATCCGCCAACTGTTCTTCAGTTGAGATATACTCAATTCTGATATCTTTCTTTTCCACATGATCTCTGATGAAGTGATGCTTGACATCAATGTGCTTAGTGCGAGAATGATGCACTGGATTTTGTGAGATGGCTATAGCACTTTGATTGTCACAAAATATTGTCACTTCTCTTGTCTTGACTCCATAGTCTAGTAGTTGTTGCTTTAGCCACAAAATCTGAGCACAACAACTACCAGCAGCAATGTACTCTGCTTCTGCTGTTGATGTAGAAATGGAGTTTTGTTTCTTACTGAACCAAGAAACAAGATTTCCACCAATGAATTGACAAGTACCAGATGTACTTTTCCGGTCAACTTTGTTGGAACACGGGTTTACGCCTCCGTCGTACTAAACTGTGTTCGTCTTTATGACAGGTTTTGATAATGCCAAACCGCCGCGACATATCGAAGCTAAAGTGAGCAAAACTAAGGCGAAGGAACATGGCATGTTGACTTGAGAACCAAGAACCCAGAATCAAGAACGAAGAACTAGAATTGTATTGAGTCGGTCTTAATGTGATCAAGACCGGCACAAAATTCCAAATCTTGGCTCTCTAGGCTCAATTCATAAAAATCTCTTTTACATTTTCAAAAATATTTTTCTTAAGTTTTAAACTTGGTTCAAAACACTTGGAGTTCGCCCAAGCCAAAAACCAAGCCATCCGGCGTTCGGCTTTCAGAAACCGGCGTTCGGCTTTCGGTTTTCGGCATTGGTTTTTGGCGTCCAAAACAACCAAGTGGTTTTCAACCTCTTATGACTGGTTTTTACTTCTGGGCACATTTAAATAGTTCTCCAACAAAAACGCTTCAAAAACCACCTTTCGTTTTTGGTCGTTTAGTGAAAACCATGCGAAACGGCATAAACTTGGCTAGCCGTGGTTTTCAACTAAATGACGTGGTTTTCAAAATGTTTTACTTGATTTCTTAGCAAAATCCATTAAACAAACATTTTCAATACTTGGTTTTTATTTTGGAGAACTTACATTTTTGACATCGGCTAACGGCTGACTAAACCAACCATGGGTCTGGCTAAACCAGCCCAACAGCGATGTTGGTGAAACCAACAGCGCTGTCTGGCTTGGGTGGCTGAAAACCATGGTTTGGCGTTAAGTCTTCCAACAGCGATGTTGGATGGTAGACATCGCTGTTGAGCCAAGGTTGGATTTCCAGAAACTTCTGGAACAGCGATGTAGGCTCCCCTACAGCGCTGTCCAACCTAAGCCAAAAATATAATGCATTGGCAGAAAGTTTTTGGACAGCGATGTTGACCCAGCAACAGCGCTGTCAGGCCAAACTTCCATCTCCAAAGGCAGACCTAAACAGCGATGTTCTAGTATAGAACATCGATGTAGAGACCTGACCGTTGGAAGGAATTTAAGGCTAAAACTTTCCTTGTTTGGAAGTCAACAGCCAAAACAGCGATGTAGGGATTTTAGACATCGCTGTTGGCATGACCGTTGCTTCCCATTTTTCAAACCGCAAGCCTAGAACAGCGATGTCCAGGCCTAGGACAGCGCTGTCTGGGTGATTTTCAACAGATCCAAATTTCATCAAATCCCACAAATTATGCCAATCACCCCTTAAATACTTTGGTCCGTTGGAGCCTATTTTTCTACTATAAAATGAGGTGTTTGGGTCTGTTTTACA